CAATGTGAAGATTTAAATAGTAGTAGAAGTAGATAAGGAACCTTAGGGATGACAATATGTGTGTTTTGATTGGAATAATCAACGTAAAATTGCTTTTGAGGTCCATTGCAGCTAGTTCTGAAAAATTTCGCTTTTTCATTGTTATTCCATGTCTTTCGATCGAAATTCCACTACTGTACCCCTGGGTAGGTTGCGCTCATTACAATTTACTGATTTGGTTTTGAATTGATCATTAGTTGTGTATTTATCACTCAAAATCTGCTTGAACGACCTGAGGCGAGCGCGCCCGCAAAATCGCCGCGGTCCCACGTGGCCAAAAAAGCCAAAACTCGCGTTGTCGTCAATGTGTTAAATCGTTTACTTCACTTTCCACGCGGAAAGCCGCAGATCGTCTACCCCAGGGTCAACCGTCACGTTGTTCCGTTCTAAACAAATTTACGACCACACCCCCTCTTTTGGAGAGAGTTTTTCCAAACCACTCCTTTTTGAAATTTTGAGATTGTTTTGTAATCTCTGGAGTTGCTAGAATCAGAAACCTATCATGGCTATGCAGTCCTGAAGGCTTTTTTTAGTCATGAAGAAGGGAATTCAGACTCCACAGAAATGCGCACTTCTTCATTGAAAAGGTAGTAGTTTTCTTCAAATGAGGAATTGTGAAGATTGCTAAGGAAATTTATTTTTTTTTCTCCTTACCACAAACACTAAATTGAATTTTGAGTCAATCAATCTTGTGCCATCCCGGGTCCAATTATTATTTTTTTACTCACTGTTACGATTGACCTGTAAATAAAAAAAAATTTAACTTCAGCTTGTTCTCTCTAGAATGAACTCACATACCTTTGTTAGTGTTCGTTCCTTCTGAAGAACGTCTATTGGTCTGTTTTTTGTGCAGATGCGAGTTTTGAACTTTGGACTGCCACAATTTTCTTCGAATTTAAGGTTTTACAATTCTCCAAAACCGTAGAAAACTAGAAGAGATAACGAGTGCTTAAACTTATTTCAAAATTGATGGGCACAAAAATAGTCCCGTTGGTCCGTTCTGGAGGCATGTGGCACGCTATTTTTGGCAAGCCCCGGATTTCGGCAGT